TCTCTCTCTCTCTCTCTCTCTCTCTCCTTTCTGGTAATGTGAGCCTCTTCCCTCTGCCAAACACTTCTGCCATGAGATTCAGTCTCAACTTAGAGGTGCTGTCTCTGGATTGAGTCCGCTGAAACCAAGAAAACCAAATAAACATTTCCTCCCCTGCAGTTGTTGTCGTTGGGTCTTTGAGTCACAGCACCATAAACCTGACTAAAACAAAAACAGAAAAAAAAAAAACAGAAATGCAATTGTCTCACCAGCACCCATCAAACCATTTTTTCCACATGTTCCCTGGAAGTGCTCACCTAACATGGCTCATCAAAGTATTCCTTCTTTTTCTGTTCCTCCTTCCTCAATTTTAGAATTTTATTTTACTCAGACTCTTGAAAATTTTTTTTTCTTCTGTTCTACTCCCAGGCTAAAGGCCTTGGAAAGTGCCTGTGGCCAAGGTTTTCTGAGACATGTGCCCTGGGAAAGTCTCTGATTCTGAAAGAAGGCTCTCTAATTGGTGGCCTTTCTAAAGTCAAGGACACCTGCTGTCCAACCCTGTGTCTTTCTCTCCAACATCCCAAGTTTCTCGCCGCTTCCACCCTCAGTGGCTTTCAGACTTTCCCAAGTCTAATGGGACATGGTGGCCCGTGCCTGTAATCACAGAAACTCAGGAGACTCAGGGAAGGGGGATGGCAAGTTTGAGGCCAGCCTCAGCAACTTAGGGAGGACCTAGGCAATTTAGTGATACTCGGCCTCCAAATAAAAGCAAAAAATAAAAAGGGATGGGGATGTGGCTCAGTGGAAGACAGCCAATGTGTTTCATCCCCACTACAAAAAGACAGAAAAAATCTTGCCCTAAATCTAGAAGACTAATTCTACTCTCCTGTGTGCTCTACCACCCTTAGTGTGCTCAGATTTACAACAAGTTAACTTGACACTTATGTCACTGTTGGAAACAAGGTTTCCATTCTGTAATCTTTGTGGATTACACTACTGTCTTCAAAAACCTGTTTTGTCTCTGGAATTTTCAAAATATTTTTGAAAATCATTTTTTTTCAAATAATTTTGATATGGCAAAGATCCCTGTAGAAAGGTATTTTCCAGTAGTGTTTTTCTTACATTAGGGATTAAGTACTTTTATGTTTCACAGTAGAAACAGGAGGGTCACATATAGACAAAATTGAGTCCATGGTGGAGAGTGCATAGACCAAGGCATCACTGACTCTCACATCTCCCGATACTGTGCTCTTGCATGACCATCAGATTTAATAGAGTAATGCCTGGAAGAAAACCCCTCGTGATTACGTGGCTGGAGACTGGGGAAGGTGATCACATACTGCTTTCTGATTGGATGCTGGTCAATCAGATGGAGGTGGGGGCGTGGCCAGAGAGGTCCATAAAAGCTTCTGCAGAGTCAGAAGAGAAACACAAGGGTCTTGCAGCCTAAGGAGACACATCCTGACTTGCGGAAGCTCAGAGCACCTGCACACCTGGCTAGTTCCCGTAAGTCCCTCACTGGCCTAAGGAACAGCACCTTCCCTCCTCACCTGTGTGGATTCAGGAACAATTTGGATTCTGTCCTTTCTCATGAACCAACTTAGGCCTTCGATTTTGCCTCTCAGTGTGGTTCTGTCTTTATACTGAATATTAGGATTTCCATTTTGGTTTATGTCACTTTCAAATTCCTTTTTTTTTTTTTTCATTTCCAGGTATTGAACTCAGAAGTACTCTACCACTGAGCCACATCCCCAGCCCTTTTTTGTATTTTATTTAGGGACAGGGTCTCACTGAGTTGCTTAGCACCTGCTCTTGCTGAGGCTGGCTTTAATCCCTTGATATTCCTGTGTCAGTCTCCAGAGCCCTTGGGATTATAGGTGTAGGCTCACATGCCCCACTTTTATTGATTTGTTTAACTTTTGTTTTTTAAGATTTATATGGACAATATAATTTATTTATTTATCTATTTATTCATCTGGTGATTGAACCCAGTGCCTTGTACATTCGAGGAGAGCACTCTAATAACAGAGGTATATCCCAAGGTCACTATTTATTAATTTTTATGTGCTGCTGAGGATAAAGTCCAGTTCAAGCCCCAGCCACTTTTTTCACCAAAGAGATTGGATTCCTATTTCATTCTAATTGATTGCAATTCTTTTTTCTGATGATGGAAATATTTATATTGTGTGCCTATAAATTATATTCTTTTGCTGGGTGTGGTGGCACACACCAATAATCTCGCCAACTCAAGAGTTTGAGGAGGCAGAAGGACTAGAGTCCAAAGTCAGCCTCAGAACACGAAATGCTACACAAATCAGTAAGACCCTGTCTCCATCTCAAATACAAAATAGGGTTAGGGAAGTGGCTCAGTGGTTGAGTGTCTTAAATTCAGAAACCAATATCAGCCCCTAAAAGAGTATACTGTATGGCCTAGGTGGTTTTTTATTTTATAATTTCTTTAAACAAATGAAACCCAAAGCTTCAAATGATCTCATGAAACAGTTCACAGCCTCTGTTCTGATCTGTTTGTTATCTTCAACATCCCCCTAAAATGGCAGATTCTCACATGTGTAACAGATATCCATGAGGCTCTGTTGTAGTTTCCAAGTGTTTTATAATATGTGCAAATGCTTTATAAATGCTCATTTAAAAAAATTAAAATGAATGTCATCCACATAAGGGCAAGTCCATTTCCAGCCATATAGTTGTTTAATCTAGGAGCTTACTGTTTCGGTCACATAACACTCTAATTCCTATTTTTAAAGGACAAAATAATAATCCAAAGCTTTCCCCCATAAGGGTGAGGTGTGCATGTAGACTTCCCAGTACCCCCTTCCCAGAGGCTGCCAATAGATGAAATAGTGACCTTTTCCCTGGACCATTTTTTAGAATTTTTCTTCATTCAGACTTTCCAGGATGAGCATCCAGACCCCACCCATGCTGTTGGAGCTGGCAGGGTGCAGACTGCTGAGCAACAAGTCCAGGGCTGTCCTAAATCTGGAGGAGTTGCCCATAGAGCTCTTCTCACCACTCTTTGTGGAGGCCTTCAGCAGGGGACACACTGAGGTCCTGAAGAAAATAGTACAGGCCTGCCCCTTAACCTGCCTGCCCCTGGGGGCCCTGATGAGGAAGCAACAGCTTGAGATGATCCGAGTTGTCCTGGATGGGCTGGACATGCTGTTTGCCCAGCAGGATCACCCCAGGTGAGGGGGACCTAGGTGGCCTGGAAGGGAGCACCCTGGGTGCCAGGGAAGCGATGGGTATAGGCAGGGAGAGTGGGTGCTGAATTGTGCATGACAGGCTTCCTGTGCTGCCAGCAATGAGGGGGGGGAGAGGCTTTGGCCATGCTGAGCCCCATCTGGGAAAGGCTTCAAGATTTGGAGGTGCTTTTGGCAGCTGTGTTGACCCATGAAGGAGGCTATACCTGAAACTGCATCACTCTGTACAAGTGCGGGAACCAGGCTAAATTGGAGGGAAGTTAATGGAGAAAAGTGAGACAGAAAAAAGAGGTAGAGCAGGGGCCAGCAGCTGAGAGGTGAAGGAAGAAGCCTCAGGGCTGAGACTCTGCTGTCGTTCCCGCAGGAGGTGGAAACTGCAGGTGCTGGATTTGCGGAATGTTCCCCAGAACTTCTGGAGGATGTGGTCTGGAGCCGTCGCTGATGCCTGCTCACCAGAGGACATTAAGAAGAATGGAACATTGAAAATTGGTCCAGCAATGGAAGCTAAGCCACTTTTCAAGGTAGTCATAGACTTGAGCCTCAGAAAAAGAGCCCTGGATGACTTCCTGATTCACTTGTTCCTGTGGGTCAGAAAGAGAAGGGACAGGCTGCACCTGTGTTGCAATAGGCTGAAGATCTTTGGGAAACCCACTGGTCACACCAGGAAGGTCCTGAGACTGCTGCAGCTGGACTCTGTCCAGAAGGTGGAAGTGCACTGCGCCTGGGCACCCTCCACCTTGGCTGCTTGTGCTGCTTTCTTGGGCCAGATGAGGAACCTGAGGAAGCTTCTTGTCTCCCAGGTCTATGTGCCTGCCTATACCTCCCAAGAGGAGCAGGAGCAGCTGCTTGCCCAGCTCACCTCACAGTTCCTCAGGATGGACTGCCTGTGGAAGTTCTGTGCCAATGCTGTCTTCCTCCTTGAGGGCCACCTGGAACAGGTGCTGAGGTAAGTAGGGGTGGGGGGTGAGATTCTCCTGCAGACCAGTTACAGGAAATATGCACCTATGTGCCACTAACACTCTCATGGTTAATAAGACACTGGTAGGTAAATAACCCATCCTTTTGTTCCTATTGTATCCTGAAGCTAGTTAACAAAACAGGTGTTGGAGCAGACTCCTAAATGAGGGTCGATAGTCTGGGAAGTGCCACCATGCTGGACAGCCAATTGGGAGAGACAGGAGCTAGGGATAGAATTTAGTTTCCCTTCATGGGAGGCCTGTCTAACTAAGTTGGTAGAAAGCAGGTAGAAAAAAGGCTTGGAAGGAGGGAAGCCCCCACACTGACACCTGTCAACAAGGAAACTCTGTGGTCCCCAGCTGGGAGCAGAGGACCTGCCTCTATACCCACTTGGGGAAGACTTTTCTGAACTTCAGGTAGTGATCCTGGGTTTAAAGGTCAAGAGCAGGGATGGAAACCTTGCTGAGGATATAGGATGTGCGCCTCTCAGAGGGTTAACCCCAGTGGATTTTGTTACATCCTGCCCAAATTTGTCCTTCATACATGACTGTCTATGACCTCCTGTGGCCAGACCTGTGACTTTCTGCTTGGCAGTGAGGAGGGGACACAGAGATGTGGACTGATCTGTTCACAAAAGATGTGGTGAAAGGCTCACCCTGACATAGGGTGATGTGAAAAACCAGAGTCTGCAAAAGGCAGCATCCTAAGTGTGGACCATTTTCAGATCATCAGGGTGACTTTGGGTTTGGGCCAATTTGTCTTCTCCCTCCTTGACATTGCACCTCAGAACTAACTGTCTGGTTTTTCATTAGGCACCTTAAGACCCCCCTGGAACCCTCTAAATAACCAACTTCCCACTTTCAGATTCTGACTGGAATTACCTTTCTCGATATCCAAACGCCAGACAGCTCAGACACCTGGAACTGAGGGGCATCAAACTTACTGATTTCAGTCTGGAGCCCCTCCAAATTCTGCTGGAAAGCACTGCAACCACCCTGAACAGCCTGGACCTGGAAGCTTGCGGGATCACTGACTCCCAGCTCCAGGCCCTCCTGCCTACCCTTAGCCACTGCTCCCAGCTTGTGATCTTGAGCATCCATGGGAATGGCCTCTCTATGTCAACACTGAGGGACCTGCTGCTTCACACTTCCAGGCTGAGCCAGTTGAGCATAGAGCTGTATCCTGCCCCTCTGGAGAGCTATGATTCCCGTGGTACCATCCACCCAGGGAGATGTTCCCAACTCTGTGCTGAGCTGACAGCAATAATGAGGGACTTTAGGCAGCCGAACATCCTTGTGTTCTGTACCGTCCCCTGTCGTTGTTGTGGCTCCAAGTTCCTGTATATCCAGGGCCTCATTCACTGCTCCTGTCCAACAGCTGCCTAGTTGGGTATGTTTCCAAGGGGTACTTCTAGGCAATTTAAGGCATAACCAAGATGTAAGGTCACCTTAGAGGGAACACAGAAACCACCATTTTAGACATTGCCTAAAGTGTGGATGGGGAAAGGAAAGTACAGCAGGGGGCTCCATTGTGAGAAGCTCCCCCTCCCCAGGATAGTACCTTCAGGACACGTGTCTCTATGGAGACATACATGGGAACATGGATTTCTAGAATGGGATTGAGGCTTCATGGGCACAGGAAGATGCTACTTTCTTTCATGACTGGTCCATAAATCGGCAGAAATGAACAGAATCTCAAGGTTAGTCTTCTGCCATTCTGTGAACTGGATTTACGTGGCTTTCTAATGAAACCTTGGGATTCTCCATGTGCTGACGGAAAAAGAATGCATAAGGTACTTGGTGAACAATGAGGTTCAGCCCCAGGAAGTCAAGGTATCAAACTGAAATCTGGTCACGATGTGTGGGTATTCTGTGGCTTAACACATGCAGCTTCACACACGTGGATTGGAACATTCTATGTCGGCACTGAACATGAGCCATTGCAAGAAAGCCTCTTCTCAGTGTACTTCAGTGCCACCCACACATTCAATGCTAGTTCTTTCTCATGGGTCTCCATGTAGACTCAGAAACCTCAGGTCCTAGTCTCTGGGTGTGCTGGGCAAGAGCATCTGTGCATAAGACAGGCCCTATTTTCCCCTCCCAGTGCCTGCAGGAGGTGTTCATGCTGCACATTGATCAGAGCCTAAGGGCCTCACCAAACCTTGCCTGTCATCCACCTAGGTAGTCTGTCCACAGTTAAATCTTTGGGTACCCTTTAAGGTACCCAAATTCCCTTTCAGCAAAATAGTAGAAACATATAGGTAGATAACACTTGTAAATATTTCAAAATGAAACTGAATCAATTTGACCCACCTGTTTGGGGGGCGGGGTTGCAGGTAGCACATAACTGAGAGATCTTCCTCTAACACTTCTCTCTGCTGAGGACTGGGCTGATGGGTTCGTGCAGCGATCTTAGCCTTAGTTTCTCATACAAGGATGAGAACAAGGTCTACCCATTCTTCATTTGCGGTATTCCAAATCTGCCTGTGGACAGGTTTTAATTATGGCTTGAATAATTCTCCACACATTGTGAACTGAAACCCTCTTTGATGTGTAAGCAGACTGCAGCTCACTCTTGGAACTGGTAGCAGCTTCTGGGCGAAGCTCAGCTGGTCTCTCTGTCACCAACAGAGTGATCTTTGTGCCTAGCTCCCTTTTTATGGCACTTCTGTTTTTAGGGCTCTAAGTCTAGCTTGCACATACATGTGGGGCAGGCAGAAGGTTCTGAACGGCATTCATTTTGTTGGATTCTAGGTTCAAATAAAGTCAAGGAAGATCTGCATAATGAGAACTGTCATCAGGTGTTCTTGTAAGAGTTATCATGACTAAAAAGGGACTTGAAGATATTCTGGTGCCTCCAGACCCTTTGAACTCTGGAAGGATTGTGAGGGCACTTTGTTTTCTCAGATGCCTGCGGATAAAGCACTCACCTCTCTTTGAGTTTCTCATCTTTTGACTCTAGGTTAATTTGTGCTTTGAGCCAGCACACAACTGTAGGATGTCATAACAAACAGGACCCAGTTTGAAAGAGTGGCAGGGTCAGGAAGTTGACTGGCTTTCACTCCTTGGCTACTGAAAGATGCAGAGTCCTTTGTGCACCTGTATCCAAAGACTCTACAGCCCCTTCTGGAACACTGTCCAACTTTACCTCCACAATCTAAACACCAAGAATCCATGCTATTCTAGAGAAATGAGTGAACTTCATCAAAGCTAACTCAGAGAGCTGGGGACATTTCTCAGTGGTGGAGCACTTGCTAGCATGTGGAAGGGCCTGGGTTGCATCCATGGCATCACAGAGATAAGTAAACAAATAAATAAATCCAAAAATGATGTGACCACATTGGGAAGGTTTAATTGGAATAGAGCTGTCTATGTGTTAGAAATATTCAAAAAGAAAGAACCACAACCCACATGAAAACAATGGAATGCATTCTTTAATTGGTCTGGACAGGTGGGTCAAATTGATGTCCTGAAAGATTCTCTTCCAAAAAAACTGGAAAAGCTGGCTTAGTGGTGCTCAGCTGTAGTTACAGCAGCTCAGGAAGGTGAGGCAGGAATGGTGAGTTCAAAGCTAGCCTCAGTAACTTAGTGAGGTTGTAAGCAAGTTTTTGAGACCCTGTTTCCTATTCCTACCTGGGGATGAGGGTCACTGGTGTGGCACCCTTGAGTTCACTGCCTGGTACCCAAAACAATAACACAAAAGTATGAAAAGCTGGTTGCAGTGGCACATGCCTGGAATCCCAGCTACTCAAGAAGCTTTATGATTTTATTCCTTCTCCTAAATTTACTAACTGGGGCATGACCCATCCTTATATTTTCCAGTTTCTTCAGATGCAATATTGGGCCATTGATTCGAGATCTATTTTCCTAGTGAATCTAATTCTTGCTGAGGACTTCCCAGTTAAAATTGCTTTTGCTGTATTTCCAGGTTTGAATATCTTGTGTTGCTCTTTTCATTGGTCTGCAGGCATTTTACACTTTCTTTTATTATTTTTCTTATTTCTTACATAGATGACAATGTTTTGATTTCTTCAATGACCCATTGGTTGTTGGGAAACATGCTGAGGAATTCCTATGCTTTGTAACTTTCCAGGTGTTCCCCCTGCTATGGATTCCATTCTTATTAAATTTATGGAGATTTATTTTGAGAATAAATGGAGAATGTGTTGTGTGCTGTTGAAAGGAAGTTTGCTCAGCAGTGGTTGGGTGGGATGGTCTGTAAATGCCTACTGCATGCAGAAATGATATACTCAGTTCTGAAAAGGGGATTTGACTGTGTTGGGCATGTGGCTCAAGCAGTAGTGCGCTTGTCTGGCATGTGTTTGGCCAGGATTCCATCCTCAGCACCACAAACTATAAAATAAATATTAAAATTCTCTCTCTCTCTCTCTCTCTCTCTCTCTCTCTCTCTCTCTCTCTCTTTTTCTGTCAAAAAAAGGGTGGGGAATTGATGCCCCCACTGTTCTTACTGTGTTGTATTACTGTGTCTTATTCTTTTACATTCCAGTAATATCTGTTT